AAGGTTACACTGTTCACTGCAGGTGTTATAGGACAGAAAGTTACACTGTTCACTACAGGTTTTATAGGACAGAAGGTTACACTGTCCACTACAGGTTTCATAGGGAAGGTTACACTGTTCACTGCAGGTGTTATAGGACAGAAAGTTACACTGTTCACTACAGGTGTTATAGGACAGAAAGTTACACTGTTCACTACAGGTTTTATAGGACAGAAGGTTACACTGTCCACTACAGGTTTCATAGGGAAGGTTACACTGTTCACTGCAGGTGTTATAGGACAGAAAGTTACACTGTTCACTACAGGTTTTATAGGACAGAAGGTTACACTGTCCACTACAGGTTTCATAGGGAAGGTTACACTGTTCACTGCAGGTTTTATAGGACAGAAGTTACACTGTTCACTACAGGTTTTATAGGAGAAGGTTACACTGTTCACTGCAGGTGTTATAGGACAGAAAGTTACACTGTTCACTACAGGTTTTATAGGACAGAAGGTTACACTTCCCGCTATAGGTTTCATAGGAGAGACGGTTACACTGTTCACTGCAGGTTTTATAGGGAAGGTTACACTGTTCACTACAGGTGTTATAGGACAGTAGGTTACACAGTTCACTACAGGTGTTATAGGACAGGAAGTTACACTGTTCACTACAGGTTTTATAAGACAAAAGGTTACACTGTTCACTACAGGTTTTATAAGACAGAAGGTTACTCAACTTACTATAGGTTTTATAATGCAAGGGTTTCAGGCCTTATGTTTCATTACACTAATGGCTACATTCCTTGCCACAGTTTTATGATACAGAGGTTTACACAACTTGCTATAGCTTTTACGATATTCAAAGCTATACTCCTTACTGTAAGTTTTATAATACAGAAGATGTCAGTGTTTACTACAAGTTTTATAATGCTAAATGTTTAAGCACCCACTACAGAATTTTGTCTAACAAGCTACCCTTCTTAATACAAAAAGTAATAGTCCTTCCTACAGAAGGCAACAGGTTTTATTAAAGAGAAATAGGTTTGTCTCTACTCACTTAGAATTCTAGAGTATTATCAGTTTAGTATATACTCTGTGTATTTTTATTAAACTATGTTGTATTTCACTACATATTAAACAGCTTAAATGCAGTATGATTAAACACTATCTTTTGTTATCTTCTCTGTTGTATATCCTAGGTTTCTGTTGCTTTGTTTACTCTATTTGAACCCTATATGTTTGTTTCTTTGGTGTTGTTTTTCATTGTAATATTGTTTAAATTATAGTGGGATACTGATTAATTACAGCTTATAACGTCTTATTGTGTTAATGGGCTAACGTCTGTTATATCAATGTTACAGAGCTATTGTACAAGTTTTCTTCACTGATCCAGCCTTCTTACACCCCCATATAGCAAGATGACTCCTTTAAAGACATCACCACTGGTTCTTACGCTATTCGTCATCATTAGACGTTGCAGATCACGTAAAGCACCGTGAAAATGAACACATTACCGAGAGTTCCATTCGACGATGCTAAAATCCCGGGTTCGATCCTATGCGGTGGACAGAGCGCATCGTTAGTCATGATGTAGCTTTGCGTTAAAATGATAAAAATTAGATAATTTTCCTATTTATATTATTCTAAAATTATTATATGATGCATTTTAAAAGACAATCTATTGAAAGTTCACAAAAAAGAAATATGCGTTTCAAGTACCTAAACAGGTCGGGAACACAGATCCTATTCATTATGGCTCTCCAGTGGCACATCGATATGTCTGTGAACTTATACTGTTAGAAACCGGGTTTCGATACCCGTAGTGGGCAGAGCACAGATAGCCCTATGTGTAGCTTTGTGCTTAATAACAAACAACAGCCTATTCATTATGTATATAATTGCCAGTATTGTGTATTTTTAACTTACTATTTTATGCGTAGCAAGTTTCAGTTACTACAGAACATTATATTGTTAAATTAGTGATATTTTCAAGTTGAAATCCACCATGTCTGCACATAATCTAAACAGTCAGATCAGAGACACATTTTAGGGTTGAAATATCGCAGTTCTTATTTTTGAGCTACTGACCAGAGAAGAGGCACCAGTCAATATCATCAGCCACTACAAGGACTTTGTCCTGCTTTGAATCAAATAATAAGATTGACTGCTTCTCTTTATAACGCTTTCACAACTAAAAGTGCGGAAAATTTGGACTTTCTTCTCCACAGCCCGATATGCTAACCATTTGGCCACGCTCCACTCTATATTCTTGCTGGAAAAAACATTATAATGAACCTAAAATTATTTTCAATATTTTGAACTGTTAATGATGTTGCCGAATGTCATCTGTTGGTACACTAATACAGAAAGTACAGGTAACACCCAAAACAGGTCAATGTATCCCTTTATCAGTTAGGACAAGTCACGTTTGTTGTGAAAAAAATATATATATCCAGAAATGAAATCAAAAACTGATAGAATATTTGCCTAGAGCTAATAAATTCGTTTTAATTTAGATCGTTGAGTAGCTTTTATATAAAGTTTAACCAAAAATATTTTCGGAAAATTGCAATATAACTCATTTCCGACAGATGACAGCACCGTACCAGTAGTTACATTTCTCTCTTCTTTTTTTTTTTCCTTTTTGTTTTGTGGTTATGAGCTATCTGCAAAATCAGTTATATAACAAATTAATTAGGTATTTGTAAGTTACATAGTTTATGCAGCTTTATTGATAATTACATAGTTTCCATATAATATTCGAAGTAATCATTTTGAATCGTTTGTGCAAGTACATCTGTGACTCTTCATGTTTTCTCGAATCTTTCTTTTCAATGTGATGTTAGGATAAAAGTCATGGATTTATCTAGCACAAAGATAGAGATAGATGTATATATATCGAGACAACACTATTATTCATCCTTCTAAGAACTTTTACCGCATGTTTACAATTTGAAATGTACTTGTTACACTACTCTCGGTTAAAATAAAATAAAAAACACTTTAAAACTTATATATTTTCGATTACCTTTGTACTTCATAATAGTTATCTGATATTTCAGGAAACTAGTTTGGAGTCTTGACGGGTCCTTTACTAACTCTCTTTGAAATTATTAACGTTTCGCTAAATAAATATTCACATGCCATTTATAAATTATTATAATATTTGAAATTCTTATCGTTTCGCTAAATAAATGTTTACATGGCATTTATAAATTATTATAATATTTGAAATAGTTAACACTAGACTTCGCTAAAGCTACCAGTAGCAACAATAGAAATCTCATTAGAAATTCTGAACCAGTTTATTGTTTGATACGGTATTACCACTGCATGGTAATCAATATGCAGCAAAGGTGATGGCAGTAGAGAAGTACAGAAATAACACTTCAGGCTACCGCTACTGAGTTTCATTAAATTGTTTATATATATATATACCTTTGTCATAAACTAATGATAAGACATCAAGAATCTGTTAATAACAGCTCTATAATAGATATGTCATTTCTAGCTTATCTATTAAGTAGGCTAATTTCTCTCATAAACTGGTTAATTCTAGCTCAGTCACGGATTAGTCTTCTTCAACTAGCCTGTGAGCTAGGTAAGATCATCTCTGCCATGAACCACGTAGTTATAGTTCAGTCATCTCAAACTAAGCTATAAATCAGATAGGCTTATATTGATCATGAATCAATTATAGTTCAGTCGTGAATCAGTCATTTCAAGTTAAGCTATGAACCAAGTAGGCTAATTTCTGTAATTAACCAATTAGTTCTAGTTTAGTCATGAACCAGTCATTTCAAGCTAAGTTATGAACCAAGTAGGTTCATTTCTTTCATGAAACGACTAGTTATAATCCAGTCATCAATCAGTCATTTCAAGCTAAGTTATGAACAACGTAGGCTCATCTCTTTCATGAAACGACTAGTTATAATCCAGTCATCAATCAGACATTTCAAGCTAAGCTACGAACGAAGTAGGCTAACTCTGTAATTAATCAATTAGTTCTAGTTCAGTCACGAACCAGTCATTTCAAGCTAAGCTATGAACCTAGTAGGTTCATCTCTACTTTTTAAAATTTTCTACATGTTGTTTTACTTTATTGGTCCTTGTATTGTCTGAACTTCCGCTTTCCAGTCCCTGAACCCATCTGAAGCGAAAGCTTTTGTCATAATTTATTATTATCATCATATTTGGACGTCTTAGGGAAACACAGCATTTAGTGTCCACAATATCAATAAAAATGACTTCGTACACCAGATGAATTAATATATATGTACCTTTTTTTTTATTTACAACACACCAACATGTCAAAAATGGCCCCTAGCAGCACCACAGTTCGCTTTTCTTAACAAAGTAAGGGTTTATATTGGGTAAGAGATATTGAGAAGAAACCAAAGCCTTCCCTAAAAGCATATGTCATAAACTTTTAAAGCCTTTTCTATACATATTTATACAAATATAAAGTTTATAATCAACAGAATTACACACACACACACCCATCATTACGTATTAATAAAAAAAGACGTTTAGCTTAAGAATAAATAAATAAATAATACCCACTAAACAGTCCCCAGGTTGATTAGCGGTATGTTTACTTACAACACTAAAATCCAGAGTTCGTTTCCCCATAGTAGACCGAGCGCAGATAGCCCATTGTGTAGCTTTGCGCGAAAACAACAACAACCCACGAACCAGCAGCCTGACCTCATCCTACACTAAATGCCGCAAATAAATACGTTGTATATGGGATCGTTAGAAAACTGTCGACTTTGAATTAGGAAAAAGAAGTAGGGGATCATCTCCAAATGGTAAATAATGATAAATGGGGTGTCTTTTACTTTTCTTCTTAGTAAATTCCCACTGTTAGTTGATTAAATTATTGATTTCCAATACACACACAAGTATTTTGAACATATTTAATCAAAGGTTTATAGATGAATTTGGGATTATCAAAACAATATGTAGAAAACATTTGGGAGTGTCCGTGCCCTGTGGGCATGACGCCACTCAGTTCAGATACAAACTGAGTGGCGTCATGCCCACAGAGAACGGACACTCCCAAGTGCATTCTACACACTGTTTTAGCTAGACATAATGGAAAGTCAGTCATTAATAATTTGGAACTAGTTCTAGAATTAATCTAAAATCAGTCTTGAATAAGTTAAACCAACAGTTCAGCGTCTAATCAACGGGACCTACTACTTATTTAAAGATTTAAAAAATATAACAGGTTTACGTACTTTTCTTACATTATGTCGCCCACAATGACATCGATTTTGTTACAATTCTTAGCTGTATTACACAGAATCCCCTAGAACACCGTTTCCCTGCACTGTCTTATTACCAAACATTTGACCAATAAAATGAAGAAAGTCCAGCATTTTTAAGTAGAAATATTTGTTCTCTTTTTTCGTTCGCCAGTTCTTCTTTAAACTGCCCTCCCTACTTTTAAAATTAAGAATTAAGAGAACAAATAAATTTATCTTTCAGTTCTCACTACAGACTTTGAATTACAAAATAATAAATAAAACGCTGTTTTAAATAAATCGTTTATGCATAAAATAATTTGGGCACTTCAGAAGTGGTAAAAAATACGAGTAAGAGACTTTTCTCTGCTGCTTTCAACATGTGTGTGTATACAATATATGTAAACTAGTTTTAGGTTCGAAATGTCACAGATTTCAATAACGTTACTGTTGATTTAAAAGTTTATAAGTGTCTTAATACACAATAACACCTAAAATATTTGTTTATTTGAGTATGAAAGCACACTATTATAATATAATAATAAGTTGGCAAACAACGATTTATAAGTATAATAAAGGGATTTATTTTGGGGAACATATTACATATTTCGACAGGACATTGGTCTGTCTTAATCGCTTATTAAAATGTTTTTTTAGCTATGTTCACTATGTGTGTAGATTCTTAACACTGAAACACAGTTACAACTAATTAAAGACCTCTTGCTTTGCTAGTCGTGTTTGTTAGAAGAACATTATTCTAATGATATCAAAAATGTGTCCTAAAATAAAATTATTCTGAGCAAGTACAATGACATAGATAAACGAATTTGGATTTTTTTCTACATTCTATTGGTGCTTAAATATTCTAAATTATTTCAGTCTATGCCTTGTAGTTTTTTAAGGGCCACTAAAGCCTATGTAATCACTAGTTTGTAATACAAATGTATTCTATGATTTACACACAAAAGCTTTTAGCATCCGCAGTATAGCACACCCAGGCAACATTTTAGTTTAAAGAAATCAAAGTTGATGTAATAAAAGTCAATTTTACAATTTCAGGACGAGGTTGGCTAGTTGCCAAGTTTCTTAGTATTCTAGTGCGTCATGGAACATTTTCGATCAATGTTGCTGGACCAAGAGCGGGGCATAGCAAATAGCAAGTTAATCGCTTTATGTAGAATTTAAACTAAGCCTAGCTTGTTTTTAAAAGATATTGCTTGTGTCATTGGCTGTTCTAATACTGATAAATATGTCAAATTTCGGAATCAGTTTGAATGGAACTTTTGAAGCTGTTACTGAAACCAACGAATTGTACAGAAAGGGCATTTCATACAATGTAGAAAACTAGCTCAGTTTTAAATCGATATATACATCTAAACAAGATTACATTTCTTAGACTTCTTGAAAAGTAATTAAGTAAAGACATTATCCAAGTGCTTGTTACAACATACCTCAGTCAAATTAACTAGATAAAGTGAATTATCTAAATGCATGTGATAAGTTTTGCACGTTTTATTGAAAAAAATGTGTGAAAGTGTTTTAGAGTTTTAACACATGGCTAAGTATTTATAACGATTTTTGTAGCATGGATTTAATACACTTCATTTATATTCATCTAGGTGTGTGCTTAAGTCATAATCTTTACTCTAAATATTATCGAATAATATCAGAGAACTGAAAATTCGCTAATGACGACGTAGTAAGCGTTTTAATTTCGTCGTTTAATTCTTTTTCTATTTGTGCTTTTGGCTACCGAGGAGTCAGTTAACGTTTTTGTCTAGATAACGGAAAAGTCTACTACAAATCTGAGGTAGAACAATTATGCTTGGTAAGAGCTAAACATTTACTTCGATATCATTACCAAATATGGACATTTATTTACTAACTACAAGTAACTTCGTGTAAGAAAATATTAATCTTATATTTTTATAAGGTTAGGTTGGAATAATGGATTACATGTTTTGTTTTTCTTACAGTGTAACATTACCTAAACTGAAAAATAAACAATTTTATGCCAGATTATCAAGGAAATCGTTTGTTTCTTTTTTTTAAACAAAAGCAAAGTCAAAACATAAAATAAACTCTTTATCTACAAAAAAAAAAAAAGTTTAGCAAACGGCCAAGTGATTCTTGTTCAACCTTTGTTTCAAAAGCAGATTTGGTTTACCGTTCTGGTCTCAAATTTACATAGAGTTTATCTTCTAAAGTTAAATGCAAATTAATTTATAGTGTCAATCAAATTTTGGGACTGATATCGTTAATATTAAGATTGATTTATAATAAAAAATATATATTACAAAGTTAAAACGAGAAATTTCAAGGGTAAAACCAGTTTGTAGTCTTTTTTTAACTTTTTACAAACAAAAATAAGACACTCTTTGCAAGACTGGTGCCAAAAAGGTAAACTTAAAACAACAGATACTTCCATTCATTTGAGTCGATCGTATAGAAATTGACATGATTTGATGAGAAAATATCTGCTAGACCAATGTTTTAGATAAAGCTTTCCATAAGTATAGGATTGGATCTCTTATTTCAAAAACTGTAATGAAAATTGAGAAATGTTATTTTGGTGTTGGTGAAAAATCTTCCGAAAGTTGTGCTTAGATACTTTCCA